GGAGCACATAAATGTCATCCACCTCTTTCCTTCTCACCTCTGCAAGACTAGGAAATTCAGAATTGCTGGGAATATAAGGATATTTCATGTTAGGGAAACCAAAATACTTAAAAATTGAAAGTTCCCCATAGGCATTTATAAACAGAGGTTTATAAATAAGGCTGTTCTTGCCTCTTTCCTGATAAAGCAGCCTTGATCGCTTGACGTTTCAGGAAGGTTTTCAAAAGCTTCTCCTTAGTTTTCTTTGAATCTGTGACTGCAGCTTCTTTTTGCTGCTTACGTTTAGCCTGCAATACATTGAGTAAAATACTTTGTAGTCATTACTTTTATTAAAGCCTTTATTTGTCTCTCACCTTGTTGCTATCATGGCTGCTCCAGCAACTTGGAGATCAAGAAAAGGCAATTCTTGTCCTCGGAATTACCGCACAAAAAAGGAAACGGATTGAGAAGAGTCTACAGAAAAAGGGATATTTAGCTACCGATTCTTAATGATACACAAATGTTGTAATTACTGGAAGGGATTAGTGCAAACCCCACTGGATTGGAAATTGCTCAGAGGAAAAGCCCACAATTAGTGGTGGCTCATCTGAATGAGGGCATGACCTTATTCCATACCTAGTGTAACTGCTGTTAGAAGCAGCAGCAAAGCCCAATGAAGCTAAATTTGCTGTGATTATTTTCCTAAATTTAATTCTCATTTCAGTGAAGACAGTAGATTGACAAATGCCTTTCTTTTTAAAGTATTCCTTAGACTGCTGACTGTGACTGTGGAAGACAACTGTATTGGTCTGAAATTTGAAATTACTGGTCTTTCTATGCGTCCCTGCTTCAAATGGCTTTTCTTCCGTATTCTCTTGCACAGCCTAGCCAAGTAAGGCCTTAATTTTCTAAAAGAAAGCCTTCAAGAACGTCTATCCCTCTGCCCCACCCTGCATCTTCTGATGTAGCCTAATTTGGGAATGTTCTTTCTTCTTTCTAGATGGGCAGCATATAAATATAATAAATAAGTGGCTTGCCAAAGCCAGTCACTGACAAGGAGGCTTTTGTTTTGCTACCGCTCTCTCAGTAGCAATTATTAATTGATAAGTAAGAAGCCTCTGTAATAAATGCACTTAACTAAAAATATGAGTAATGGTAAAGGAACACTACATAATTTCTTGGACTCCTTCTAAAGTTGAGCTTCTGCTAACTTAGGAATAATACTATGCTTTAGATGAAATAATTTGGGCAACAGTTTAAAAAGGATAAGATTCCCAGCTGGTGAGGGATACAAGATGCTCCTCTACAGAATGTCGCCATGTTGTGTTTCTTTTCTTTGCCTAAAAATTTCTTTTGCTTTGTTTATCAAATTTGTCCTTACAAAATTTTGTTTACAAATTCTGTTTTGTTTACAAAATTCGTCCTTCCAGTTTCCACTTTGGGTACTCATTGTTTTTAAATATACCGCCCACATTTTGTTGTGGTAAATACAAATCAAGTTATCCCAAAATCAGACCATTAGTTTCAAAAGCAAGTCAGAGGGATTAAATACAACAGTCTGAATCATAAAGAAAACAGGATTTTAATTCCAGTCTCTCCTATTCCTTTATTCTATTCTTGCCACAGTTGCTAAATTCTCTAATCCTTGGTTTCCCTAAATTTGCTTATCTGAAAGTAACATGTATTGAACTTAGTAATTCCAATTTCAATGGAATTGTGAGCGGGATAGGTATGGCTTACATACCAAAGTTTGCCTCTTCAACAGAGGAGCTTCTCCGTCAAAAACAAAAATGGGGCGGATCCGAAAGAAGAGCAGCTTGCAAAGCCGGCGAAACAATATGAGGAGATGAGCATTATGGATGGAATTCCCATGACGGTCTCTTGCTCCTTTAATAGCTTGATTCAACCAAATACTAATATCTTAAGAAAGCATTTAAAGGAAGACAACAGAAAAGTGACATATACAAAGAAGCATTGATCTGTTTAAACATACCAATCATTCACGCTTACATAATCAGCATTTTACGAAGCACATTTTATTAATTTTCCTAAGACTGTAAAACCGATATATCAGGTAAATTTAACAAGACTGAAAATAAAATATTGGCGTTCAATATTTATTGACTGGAGAAAATCAGCAATTATATATGAAATCTATTAAAACATTCTTAAGGAAGCTCATTTTTTAAAGGATACCAACAGCAAGAATTTTTCCTTCCAACGTTTCTGGGTTTATAGGTCTTCCTGAGCATTCTAGTAACTTCCAAAGCCCATGAACTCCCATTGTTCGTTAAGTAATATAATGAAAGTAAAATCTGTTGAAAGCAATAAAATATGGATAATTGCTTATATATTAAATATGCCAATCATAACATTGTATCTATTAGCTTACTGCAGAACTGCAATCTTGCTAGACAATTTAAAAATATTTAACTCAAGTTTTTTCCAAACTTGTGCCTTCCAAAGAAATTGTTTCCTCCCCAATTAGCCATGTTGAATAATGACAGAGTTAAGAAACCTACAGGTAACTGCACAATTAGGGAAGGCCTGATTTATCTGAACAGGAACTTTAAACAATAGTTTATTTATTAAAATGTCAGTTTTTCTACTAAAAATATGTGAAAACAATAGTACTTAGATAAAATGAAAAGAAAACTGGTCAAGAAAAAGCAACACCCTGCCTCACATCATTACCTATAAACCAATAAATCAATAGTTAAACCTTACAAGAAAAGGAATAATACTTATAAAGTATTGCTTTCTTCATATATATTTTGATTTAATTCAACCAATTATGAATATTGCTTTAAATCAGTTTTTTTAAAATAGAAATAATCCTTGCATCAACTACAATACATATCCACCTCAGGTGCTACATTACCTAATCAACATTAGTATTCACACGTAAAACTGTGTAAAATAAATATATTATAAATAACTTCGTAAAATATTATTCTGCAGTTTTACTAAAATAATTCATTCTTGCTCCATTTCCTCAGCAAGATGGCAGCTGACAAGCAGAAAAAGTCCTAATCAAATTACAAGATTGTTTAAGGGTTTGAAGTATATATTTTTAATTAATCCTGAATTAGCACTGGTCTGAATTATTTAAAAGGATTTTTCCTCGTAAGGACAAATAAGAGATCTGGTGCCATTAAAGCGTTGGTAAGACAATTTTTCTGGTAGTCTTGGAAATGCTATCAAATGTCTTCGCTTTGAAGAGGAAATCCAATCCCAACTCCAATTCTTTTAAGTGCCTTGCCTTAACTGCGCAGATACAAACCCTTAACCTGCTTTGCATTTTGCATTTCTCCTCTGTGCTTTAGATCTCCTAAGACAAATTCCCCAATGCAATCTTCTCCGGGACGCAGGGATTTTATTTTATTTTTTACTTTTTCCTACAACTCCGTAAAGCCATTATGGTCGTTGTGTAATCGCTCCTGCTGCCTATCAAACTTCCGACACCGAAACCAGAATTCACATGGGCGTAACTTCTAATAAAAGGGACTTGCTGCAACGCAGGGCGAAAAGAACGACGAACCTTAATTGGTGTAAAGCGAAGATAAGCTTCTTGAGTGGGAAAATAAAATAAAACGTGAAAAAAAGTCGGCCGAATCCATCCGGGAACCTAGAAGATACAGGGAAGAACGTAAAGCGCCGCTCACCCAGACAGCGCCATGTTATTACGTCACAAATAGACTGCGCTGCCCGCTGGGAGATGTAGTTCTTACAGAGGCTGTGAGAGCATCAGGACGAGAGAAACACGCAAGGAGCGCTTCTCTCGTTTTTGCAACCGCAGAAATGTCATTTCTTCATTTTTTTTCCCTTCTGCTGTCCCTTAACATTGGAAGAATTTTGCTGAGAAACTAGGATCAAAAAGCAGCTGGCATAAATTCTGAGTCTACACACGACAGACGCGCTCAGAATTACTTAAAAATAAGGGTAGAGATCCAAGGCGATTTTTTTTTTAAAAGCAAAAACACGACGTAATGTAATTTGTTGCTTCCTTTTCCTGCTCCCCACCCCACCCCCAGTTCTTCCGAAACTAGCGTTTTCTGGCTTTCCCATTCAAATGTTACCAGCTTTGTCCCACTTAATTTTTTAAGATCAGGCTAGCAAGCTGTTATGAACGCCTGAACTACTTCCCAGTAAACATGTGCATTCCTTCTCCCCATTCCTTTACCATTGGAGAGTGGGATGCTAAGGTTAAACAAAAACTAGAATCAGAGTAGGGTTTGGTAATCCATTCAGAAAGATTGGCTCAGACAGAAACTCAGATAAGCAACAAACAAAAAGGTTGACAAAATTAGTTCAAACACCCAGGATTTGCATTTCTTCTTTTGCCTGCTTCCGAGATATGAAAGCGGCGATGACGAAGCCAGGCAGTGGTTCTTTCAGATACGGTCGGACGCTCAACTCATCCCGGGCAGAGCCGTTCGGGAAAGGTCAGCCTTGGCACAGAATCCCCTCCATAGCAAAGAGGCGCCTGACCCGCTTCATCCTTTCGAAGGACTCGTGCAATGAGGGAAGCGGCAACCCGGGTCACCATTTCGGCCAAACGGGTCGAGCCAGGCTTTATCAGGGTCCCGGGAGAAAAGTAGCGAAACAGTACTCGAACTGCGCCAGAGAGCCTCTTCTGGCTGCCCTGGGGAACCCCCCCGCGGGCGCGCAACCCGCCTGCTTCCATTAACCGAACTGGCTTCCTTCCCGGCCGGCGTTTTTCCCGCCACTAAGAGCGGGTCTATCCCAGCAAACCCGCCCCCCCCCCCCCCCCCCCCCTTCTTAATACTCCCCGGGCCGAAGCCGCCCCCAGGGTGGGGGGGGGGGAAAGCGTTGGAGTAACCAGAGGAGAAAGGGAAGTGACGTCACAATGGGTCGTTCCCGCCCAATCATAAAGCCCCTGCTCTCGCCGCCCAATTGCAGCTCACGCCCGCCATAAGGCAGCCAATGAGCGCGCGGCATTCCGGCGCCGGCAGGAGTGGTTTGTCTGGCCGGGAGGGAGGGGAGAGGTTCCCAAGAGCTCGGCAGTGGCGGCGGCTCCGCCTTCCTGTGGTCGGTGCGCGGCCTCGCGTCCCCTTCTTCCTCCTCCCCGCCCGGCTGGCCCCTCTCTCTCTGGCAGCCATGGCGGCGGCAGCGGAGCAGGAACAGCAGCAGTTCTACCTCCTTCTCGGCAACCTGCTTAGTCCGGACAACGTCGTCCGCAAACAAGCCGAGGTGAGCGACTCGCGCGGCTCCCCCTTACGCCCGTCCTCTCCTCCGGCCCCGCCGCGCACGAGGTTTTCGCTCCTGGCCTTTGCCTGTCAGCAGTGGCCGCGTCGCGGAGGGCCTCCGCCGGGCCCACGTGCTCCGGCCAAGCCGGCGGCCGTTACAGCCGTTGGCCGGGAACTAGAACCCAGTTCGGGGGGGCGGGGAGGAGAAGAAGCCAACTGCGCTTCCCGCTAAACTCCGGCCGAGTCTTCTTCGCCGGCGCCTGGTTGCTCTCTTTCGCCCATTCTCGGCTCCGATCCCCGGTTCAGACGCCCCCTCTCCCACCCACAGATCGATCCCCATGGAGGTTTTCTCTCCCTCGCTGATGGCCGCGGAGCCGGCTTCTCCCTCCGCCGCGAAGCCGGCTTTCTCTCCTGCTCGGTCCCCATTTTCTCTGGCTTTTCCCCAGCTCTTGTTACCCAGCTCCCCACCCCACCCCCATCCGATGCTTCGCTTTACGGTCCTGACCCTTGTGATTCGGACAACGACAACCTCCACCAACTCCCTTCAACAACTAACTTAAAGAGTCTCTGTTCCCGCCTCCCTGTTTGGGATGAATGAGAATGATAATACTGTACGTGAAAGAGCGAAGGTTGTAACTGATGAGTAATTAAATGGGGGAGGGGGTAGTAAGTTAAGTAATGCTTACAAAGGAGGGAAACTCCTCGGCTGTTAGGCCGCCCAATTGATCTCTTGTTTCTACGGTGCTTAATAATATTTGTATTATGCCGGGCTTGGAAATGGCTAAGGAAGTGAGGAATCCGAACTAGTCTCTTGGCTGTTGTCCTTAAGTACCACACTCGCAGTAGAAGGAGCATTGTGACTAAGTTCATTTACAGTTTCCAGTAAAACAAAAAGCTAGGGAAATATTTCGGCTTCTCAGAATATTCTGAGCTCAAGATGCTGGCCTTGAATAAAGGAATTATGGCGATAGATTTCATTCAGAAACTGGCTGAATTGAAAATTATATAGAAGGGTAAAAGGGCTGCTGTTTCCCACGAATTAGACTTGAAACCATGGTTTCTTTTCATAATGCAGGAACATGCTATACCTAACTGCTTTATTACTCTGGTTCTGAATAGTCTTTTTTATTATAAGTTACAATTCCAAACTGCAGGATTTCTCTATAATTAGTATAAAGGGATAATACTTTTTCTGCTCCAGATTGCTTTTCATTCTTTGTTATTTAAAAAAAAATAGTGGGGAATCTTTGTCCCTCAAAATAAATGCCAGTGCCTGGGTTAGAGTTTTCTCATTGTATGGCTGTGGCTGGGCTTTTATCGTTGACATCACTTGAGCGATCAGCAGAGTTCAGCACATTCTTTCACTGTGAATAGTTGTACAAAAAGCTGTTCTCAGTGCCCAAATGTAAAACAATATGGTCTGATTTTTCTTTCTGGTCTGAAATAGGCACCCATCATTCAGAGTCAAAATTCTGCATATCATTGCAATCTGTTTAAGTACTAGGAGTATCAAATCTGCTAAAAATTAGACAAAAGAATCAGCAAATGGGGGAAAATAAAAGTATGACCAGATTCTAAAGAGTTTTGTGAAGTAAGATGTAGAAAAAGGCATATTACTTATATATGAATAAGATGGCAAATTATCGGTATAAATATTGCCTGATTGTGATAATGTCCGGGTTTTTACTGTGGCAACAGTTCTGAGTTCCATATCTGAATATTTAAATGTTAGATACAAAAAGTAGGGGGATTGTTTCCTGGATAGTCTTGAGAGTTTCCAGAATCACTGGCTATATAAATCCTATTCATTACCATATAGTTCTAAACCACACTGTGGGACACTGCTATAGTGAAATCCTAAAAGCCCAGATCAATAAAAAACCTTCAGGTTATATGAATGGCAGTATCATCTGAAAAGGTTTGTGAGCTACTATGATGATCATCTATGTGTATGTTAAGAGAAAGGAAAATGTTGTCTTTTTCAGCAGTGACAGCTGCTTCATTAATACCATTAGTGCAAGTTTATGGCTGTTTGTGCAGGTTACATCATAGATTCCACACAACAATGATGCTTATATGAGATAAGTAACTGGAGCGCCATCCACAAACATTTGCATTTTACACCAGGTAGCTAGATAACATGTATTCACAGACTTCGTTAAAATACACGTATAAGAAATAAGATCTTGATTCCATTTATATAACTACTAAAACTAAAAACTATCATATTTATAAGCCTCAGAAGCTTTAAAATTTGATATAAAAAACAGTTGTTGATAAAAGCTAACCTGGCATGTCTGGAATCTTTGTAAGTTGAGCACCTCTTATTTAATGAAATAATAAATTTAAGCAATCATTTCTAACCACTTTTAACAATTATAACCATTTCTTGAGTAATTTAATGATGACTTTTAAGCTCTGGTTGCCAGAATTCCACAAGATCCTACTGCCAAAATACAGCAGCAAACTTTCTTAATAAAAGTATGACTTTTTAAAAAAAATTATTGGGAAGAAATAAAACAATTGTGTTGAACTGTAATCAAAGACACTGCCACAGACTGGTGATGCTCAGAGTTGTGGCTATCACTTCAAGGCATAAGACCTGATTTTTGAGGATCCACCTGTACCTCATAGTTTTCTGCTTGACCCACATGATCTGTCACTATGCTTGAAATATCACTTTTAAACAGTGTCATCCAACAGGACTCTAGAAGTGGTCTTTTCTCTCATGGCACCTACTATCTCTAGAACACTTCTGATATTATGGGAGGAGTGACAGACCCAGGACAGAGTTAAAAGAAGGATCACCCTAGAATCCCGACATAGCCAAAAGTAAACTAAATCCCCCTCTCCAATTATGTAGATCCTTATCTAACTGCAAACAGGTGTTAACCATTAATTGAAAAGATTTCTGTGCAAAGGTTGTTTAGCAATAAATCAGTTTAATTGGACATTATCCACCTCCTTAAATGAGCCCTTAAAAAAATAAGCCCTAAGACCTACCGGTTAAAGTCAAAGCTGATGAACCATTTGTATGTTTTGATTTTTTAATGTTTGCTGCTTATTTTCTGAACTTTCTGATTTTCATTATTTTTATTTTTTTAAGAAATATGGTATCTGGTAAGTTTAAAGTTGTAATGTATTGAGTTGCCCTATAAATCCCATAAATAAATAAGTTCTATTACTTTTGTATTGAATGTGGCTTTCAGTGGCTGAAAAAATTCAAACTGCAGCCTCTGGATGGCAAATGTTACTCACTCATGCTCCAAGTAACTGGAAGAGTATTAAACAGCACTTCATAGCACATCAGTGTTAGAACATTTTGCAACCTGGTACTTTCCAGAGAACTTGGGCTATTTTCCAAAATTTGTAAGATTCACCCTGATGGGTACAGCATATTAATTTATGCCAAGGTCATTTGAAGATCACCAGATTGACATCATTATGACATATAGCTAATAATGTTGATAATGTACTAATGTTAATAGTACTAAAAAGCAATAAATTTTGTTTTAAACTGTCCTAGGAAGAAAAAAATAGGATTAAAACAAAGTTATAATTTCTTTTAACCAGCTGCTGTATATCTTCATAACCTTCGTTAACAGGATCATATTTGAGAGGAAGAAACAGACTGAATCTACATTAGTAAATTCAATATATTTCTCTGAAGGAGAAGAAAATCTTTGGGTGTCTTCCTTATATGCTTTAGAATTATTTTTTGTGAATTAAAGGTTCCTTTCATATTATAATTTCTCTTTCGTTTGAGATTTGAGGTCTTGTATCTTTCCCAATATAGTACTTCATATTCCTGCTTTGAGTAAAATAACTACTATAACAGATTTTTTGGTATATCTTAAACAGTTATCTACTTAAAGTGTATTAAGTGGCTGTTTAAGTCTTGATACCTCATTTTTTTAATGCTAAACTGTCTCTGATCTTTTCTTTTTTAGGAAACGTATGAGAACATACCAGGCCAGTCTAAGATTACGTTCCTTCTACAGGCTGTCAGAAATACTACGGTTGCCGAAGAGGTATTTTTCACCTAAGGAACTTATAAGAATTGCAGGAATGTTTTATGTTGTAAAACAGGGCTGTCAAACTCCCAGTCTGCAGGCCGGATGCATCACCGGCTAGCCACACCTGGTTTAGTGAAGGTGGGGAGGGTCCCGATATGTCACGTGACGATGTGAGTTTGACACCCCTGTTGTAAAACATCATTTTGTGATTGTGACTTATGGTCATACCATCTAAGGTGGAATATATTACTAACACTACAACTTAAGCGAATGGTCAGGAAATTGCAGCATTAATGTTTGTTACTCATACTGCTAAACCCTAACACATCACATATATAGAAGTTTTCATTCCTAGTTTTGTAACAAACCAGTGTTTAATATTTTGACTTTATAATTATAAAATTGATAAATACTCTTGATTTCAATTTTCTTTTCATGAACAGCACATGGCTTTTCTGCTTTCTGTGGCCCCTTGTACTTCCACAAAACCCATTTCAACTAGGTGCAAGGGCTTTGAAATAAAGGAGTCAAATATGTGTTTCATTCTTCATTTCAATGAAGAAACTCCTTGAGCTGTAACTATGATTACATTAAATTTCTAAAGAGATACAAAAAAATAATAGTGGTTTAAATGAGCTGCATGTACATTGAATGAAGCATATCTTTATATAAATGCAGTCAATTGTTGGGGTAGTCCTCAACTTACAACCACAATTGAATCCAAAATTTCTGTTGTTGAAACATTTGTTAAGTGAGCTTTGCCCCATTTTACTACCTTTCTTGCCGCAGTTGTTAAATGAATCACTGCAGTTGATAAATTACTATATATTTATGTTAGGGTCGCAAAAGGGTGTCACATGACACACAAACACCCCTGGACATAGCAATGGTCATAAGTATGAACCAGTTGCCAAGCATCTGAAATTTGATTACATGATCATAGGGATGCTACAAATGTGGTAACTGAAAGGTAGTCGTAAGTCATTGTTTTCAGTGCCGTTGTAACTTTGAACGGTCATTCAATTAACTGTTGTAAGTTGAGGACTACCTGTATAGTGGATAGGTTCTCTAATCTTGTCTTTAGAAGAACGCAGACAATAATACATGACGTAATAATTTTTACATACTACAAGTGGAGATCGTTAATCAGTTCTCCAAATTTTCCATTTATGTGATCTTATGCAATAATATGTTTATATTTTGGCTGTTTATTAGATTAATTGTCTTCTTTCCCTGTCCCTATAACCTACTGTAGTATAAATTGTTACAGCTGCGATTGGTATAATCAGTGTGGGATTTAATGATCCTTACTCAATTTTTTATTTTATTATTAAGTTTAGATATCCATATCGCTATCCAAGGTGTCTTTCTTCTATCATTTGTTCTTGAACAACACTTTCTGTTGTAAAGTTTTATTTTAGTTCTAGAGTTTTATTTACTTTGCATTTCTTCATATACTAAGTCATTCTGTTTTTTTAAAATAACACTCCTTATTCCTCTACATTAATAGTTTTTACTTTGTCTAGATGTCATGTTTACATTTTAATGTATAATAGAGTGTCATTGCTTAATTTATTACTACATGCTTCTTAGTTCATAGTGCTTTTGCTATAGAGTCAGATGTCTCATTTAGTTCTTATATTAGTTATGGAGTGAAATATTTGAGGGGGATGGAATAACTAAAGATACCAAAAATAGATCAGCTGAGTCAGCATTTTGGCTCAGCTGCTAAATTTTTATATATGTAAGAAAAATGCCTTTACAAAATCACTATTGGGTTTGTTTGTTTTTAAAGGAAACAGTTTACCATGTATTTGTCTTATCAGGCTAGACAAATGGCTGCTGTCCTTCTGCGGAGACTTTTGTCAGCTTCTTTTGAGGAAGTTTATCCAACATTACCCTCTGAAGTCCAAACTGCCATCAAAAGTGAACTGCTTGTGATTATTCAGTTGGAAACACAATCCAGTATGAGGAGAAAAATCTGTGATATTGTAGCTGAATTGGCCAGGAATCTAATAGGTATAAAATCTTATTTTGGTACAGATGCATAAAGGAAAAATATTTTAGCTGACATGATGGTTGTTGTGTTAAAAAAATGCTTTTCTGGATCTGCAGCTATGTTCATAGATTGTGCTAAGTCATAATAGGGTTCATTTGCCTTTAGCATGTTGGGTGAATCAGGTCAATTGTGATTTACTCTTTAAAGTTAGCCCATGACAAAATATAAGCATGATTAAGCTATGATATAGTATGTGTCTAAACCTGGAATGTTTAATTTCCTTGTACTCTATCATGCTTTGGCTCCATTATTGGCTTTGAAATGAAGATAACACTTTTAAATAATGATTAAACATCTACCACTTTAAATATGCATTTTCATATTTAGAAATATATATGCTGCGCAAGCCTTGAGGACTATAGCAATCCACAACCTTATGTGATCTCTGTGCAGCCTTTTCTGTTTGACATTAGTGAGTATGGCATCTCTGCACGTGATATTTCTGCATTGGTGGAATGATCTCTTCTGAAATAATGGGGCATTCACTCAGATTACTTTCTAATTTAGCGAAACAGTATGCAACCACTGTCCTTTCAGTATTATGCTTCGTGGGTGCTTTACTTACTCTTTTCCATTTGCTTTTTCAACAGCCAGTATAAGGTCAGTTGAAATCCTAAGTGTAAGGGTGGAGGTTAAAGTGAAGATTTTCTAAGTACTGTGAAATTTTTGCAAAGACTAGTCAACCAGGCTAGGAAGTGATAAAAGTCTTTGGAAGGAAAATTCACTGTGTTCATCAAGAGTTCAGAGCTAACAAGCCATTGAAGCAGAAGAATATGCATCAGACTTCGTTGATCTAATTCGGTTAAATGCCATGATTTCCATTTTATTTTTATTTAATTTTAAAAACTGTACACCTAAAATGTTAATTTTTCTCTCTCACATAGATGAAGATGGCAACAACCAGTGGCCAGAAGGTCTGAAATTCTTGTTTGACTCAGTCAGCTCTCAAAATGTGGGACTGCGTGAAGCTGCTCTACATATCTTTTGGTATAATTATTCTTAAATAGTTCATGAGGCCTTTATGTACTCTGATAGAAATTGTGAAAGAAGGAAAGGTTGTCAGTTTGTTTTAAAAGCTTGTCGCTGGCTCACGTGCACATTATACATTACAGCTAGACAGTTTCTTTGTTTCAAGCCCATCAATCCTGATCATTATTTCACAATATATTCAGAATGAAAAATTCTTGATTAAAACAGGGGAGGGGGCTGTCAGGGATCATCTGTGCCTAGTTGGGAAATGCCTCTTTACTATCGTTGAATAATTGGTGCAAAATTTATGTCTTCGTCTTGATTACTCTTTCATTTACATTGCTTCCCAGCAAGGATGCACTTCATATCATGGAACTGCAGGATATTATAGTTAGAAATTTTTATTAACATATTTTAGTCCATTTTTTAAAAAAAGCAATAAGAGTATTACATGTCCAACAAGCAGTGTTCAAAGACTTCGATGGCTTGCAAAGAAAAAATTGTGGCGATAGATTTATTTATATAGAATGCTTGCAATTTTGTTTAAATAGGCACTGAAATTCATTTAGGTTGCTTGTGCTGCTATTGGGCCTTTCTCGGTGAAATAAGTAATGACAAAGAAATGGCCACAAGTGAATTTTTAGTACATTTTAATAATTCAATATTTATTTTATTCTCTGTTTAGGAACTTTCCTGGTATTTTTGGAAATCAACAGCAACATTATTTGGAGGTCATCAAACGAATGTTGGTGCAATGTATGCAAGATCAGGAGAATCCAACAGTAATTTAACATTTAATTTTGTCTTTTATTTTAATGCCATTGCAAAAAAAAAAAGTTGTTTAAGGCACTTAAAGTTCTTCATTCTGTTTAGTAATTTACATGAAATAACTACCTGGTGGGACCCAGAAGAGGGGCCTTCTTTATGCTGGCTCCCTCTCTCTGGAATATCATTGCCCCAGAGATTAAAATGGCCCCCACTCTAGCACTCGGAAGGCACTGAAAACCTGGTTTTGCCAGCAGGCCTGGGGAACCCAGAGAGGGATGGAGCCCATCAAATGGCTAGTGTGATCTGCTGTCATCGGGGCGGGAGGGTGGAAGTTGTTTTTTTTATTTTATTTTATTTCCAAATTTTGTTCCATTGTACTTCACTAATTTATTTGATTCTTTTTGTTAGTTTTTATTGTTTTTTTTTGTTTTTTTTGTTTTGAATATGGTTTTACATTGTGTAAGCCGCCTCAAGTCGCCATGGGCGAATAGGCGGCAATATAAATTAAATAAACTACACTGGGATTATTTTAGATAAATGATTCTGGGGAATTGTTGTGATCTGTTCTTCATAGAGCTGATATTTAAGAGATTATCAGTTCAGAAGACTGACCTTGGAATCTCGTAGACAGCAGTATTTTCTTTGCCAAATTAATGGAAATCTGGGTGATGTCAGTGTGTTTCACTAACATCCTTTGTTGACTTTTATTGGATTTGGATAGCTATCCATATCCCCCTCCCCTCTCTGAGTATGTCCTCATCCTAATGTTAGTAGAGATTGAATAGAATTAAGCCCCATACTTTACTGACCACTGGTTTTCTTTCTAGATCAGGACACTGTCTGCTAGGGCTGCAGCTGCATTTGTTCTTGCTAATGAGCAAAATCTTCCCCTTCTTAAACATTTTGCAGACTTACTTCCTGGAATTTTGCAGGTAAAATCTCAGAAAATTTATGGTGACTGAAAGGCTAAGCTTGTTGCTATTATTTTTGTTGTACAGTGGGTGTCACTCAAAATAATAGCATAGAAAAACGATTATTGCATCAGATGAGTTATAGAAGAGGTGAACATGAATAAGCCTCACTTGATTAAAATGTGATAAAACAGTGCTTCCCAAACCTAGCTGAAATCACCCAGAATTGTGTAAAAGTGTTTTTTTCTTTGGGTAGCAACATACGAATTTATTGCCAAACTACAAAAGGGCCAGTTAAAGTGTTTTGCCTACATGAGATAAAAAGAACTTTCTGATAATTTTAGGTAATGAAAAAGTTTGGAAGCACCGTGCTAATTGCCCATACTAAGGGAAACTTTCGATGTTAAGGTCAAATGCCTTTGTTGTGGAAGCTTGCAAAATGTTGAGTGGTTTCCTTTTAAATGCTTTTGAGTGCAAATTTACAAGGGAAAATATATTAATTACTGTTTTTCTTCAGGCAGTCAATGACTCGTGTTATCAAAATGATGATTCGGTCCTAAAGTCTCTTGTAGAGATTGCAGATACAGTTCCAAAATATTTACGCCCGCACTTAGAACCTACATTACAACTGAGTTTAAAAGTAAGTTTGTATTCTAGCACTTCAATTTGAAATATTTATTTGTTAGAACTCTGGCCTTGATTTTAGAGTTTTCCTGAAATATTTTTCAATTCTAGCTATGCGCAGACACAAGTCTCAATAACATGCAACGTCAACTGGCCCTTGAAGTAATAGTCACATTATCAGAGACTGCTGCTGCTATGCTGAGAAGGCATATCAACATTGTTGCACAAGCTAGTAAGTAAGCCACTTTCATTATTTTACTCAAATTTATAACACAGGTACTCAATTGAGCCCAACATTTATGTTGCAAAGTGAGATATTTGTTAAGTGAGTTTTGCCCCATTTCTTGACCTTTTTTGCCACAGTTAACTGAATCATTGCAAGTGTTAAATTAGTAACACAGTTACTATGTGAATCTGACTTGTCAGAAGGCGGCAAAAGGTGATCACTTGCTTCTTTCTAGAGTATTCTGAAAGTAGCATCTCTGTTTAGATTATAGTGATCATATGGTGTCCACACAGGACTTCTTTTTAATCAGGTTCTATTCCTGGTTATAATCGGTTCAAAATGTTAACTTCCCTTTGTCTTTGTCTTTTTGTCTTTGAAATTTGTTCAGTTCAAAGAATTAGTGCATATCCAGAAACCTGGTATTTGTTTCAGTAGAGCTTTTATCACATGTTAAATGCTTTTGCCGTTTGTTACTGCTTTCGTCAAGAACTTTTAATCTCCTTTTATTTATTAAATATATGGCTCTTTTCAGCTCTGTAATTTTAAATGAGAAGCCAAATATGTTACTTGTAGCCTAGCCTTCCACTCTCTTCTCTTAATATATAAGCTACAAAAAACATAAAGGGAAATGGATAAAAGATCATTTTAGATTAATAGAAAAGCAGTAAATATACATACTTGCACAAATCCCATGTATCAAACATCATGATGAAGTCATAGATTAATGGCTGTAATTAAGAACAGAAAGTTACTTTATAAAATTCTGACATTTATGAACCATTTTGTTTTAACCAACTTCAAACACTAACTACTCACTAACACCTTTTAGCTGAATCTTTTAGTTGCCAATTAAATGACTATGGCTCACCAGGATCTGCAAATTATATACTGTATATAGATTGCGTATAAAATGATAGAACAATTAGATTCTCAAGAGCTTGGAACAAGCCATTTAAAATATCAATATTTTGTTTCAGGTTCAGAACAAAAGTATTTTGTGCTGAGGATAGGATAAAGTCAATATGTTTTGTTTTGAGTCTTGAAAAATGTTGGGAGCATGTATGTTTTGTTACAATTTCAAAGTACTCAGAACATATTGTATATCCATATTTTACTTTACTTAGCTATAATTATTCCAAATATCAAACTGATCAGTTTTTCACATTGTGTCAATGTATATTGCAGTAAGTAAAAGTCCACATTTCTTTTTGGGATTGTTAGAAGCTATGTTAACATCCAGTGCATTGTTGGAAATTTGTTAATAAGCACTGTTAAATTTGTTTTAGTCCCTCAGATGTTAGCAATGATGGTTGATCTAGAAGAAGATGAAGATTGGGCAAATTCTGATGAATTGGAAGATGATGACTTTGACAGGTAAAGATGCCTATTTTAGAAATTCAACTTAGGGTCCTCGATTTTTCCCAGGATTATTTTGTACTTTAATCTGTGTTGACATTTAATTCATGTCAAGGCCTAGCCCTAAATGTATGGGTGCACCATCCATTTCAACTGGTTAAGGATCAATGGTAGACACATTTTCTTTCTCATTAAAAAGATGTACAATATTTAAGAAATTACATTGAGAGGAGCCATTGTTTGTACAGAAAAATAAAAGTTTAATCCATTTGTTTAATAAAGTAAAAGCGAATCAAAAGTTAGAAAACATCCTCACAGAAAGAAAAATAATAATTTCCAATTTGATACAAAGAAGAATCCATACAAAGAATCTACTCTAGAAATCAAGTGTCACATGACCTAGGTCTTTATTGTATGAAGTTCTTAGAGTTTCCTTCGAGTTTGCTCCAAAATTCTTGGTCACAGTTAATTCATTACATTTAAAAACTCTTTGTTAATTGTGAAGTAGTATGGCAGTAGGTTGACAATTTTGTAATGGAGGTTTTTTCAGAACAACTTTGACCATTATTTTATGCTGCAGTAATCACTGAACTGGGCAGAGTGAATTAAAATCTGGGCAATATATACAGTAGGAGACAAAGTCCAGGAACAGAATATTGAAGATGAGATGAGAGATAGTGAACATCAGATGGCTCTGTCTGTGGATAGAATGATTTGCCATAGGACATGAAGTAGTGCAATGATTTAAAAGGAAAGTGCAAAGTTTGCTGAAGTTCATAGCATTCCAGAGCAGAGTCAAAACTAAATCAGATGAGGCCCCAGAAACAGATAATATGTATAATAAATTGGTATGGAACTGATTGCAATGTGGGTTGAAAGCTCTCTGTCATAACAAAAATGTAGTTGAAGCAACTCTGTATTAGCCCTAGGAAAGCAGTGCTAGATAAGATGTATAATTATGCAGCGTAAGACCTGGAGGTTCAGATTTCGCTTAGGAAAATGCGAAGGTTAAGCACAAGATTTTTCAAGCAGGATTTTCTTTGAAACAAAAGTCTAAACAATAGGAATAGGAGCATCAGTTGATATTCTAAACCTTGTTCTTACTGATGTTTTGCAAATTTTAGCAATGCTGTTGCTGGTGAGAGTGCACTGGATAGAATGGCATGTGGCCTTGGTGGAAAACTTGTCTTACCTATGATCAAAGAGCATATTATGCAAATGCTTCAGAATCGTAAGTAATTTTATTTTGATTTTCAGCTGCTGATTAAATGATATAGGAACTGAGCAGTTAAAAATGGGTTTAAACGAATTTATAGTGAAGAAACCCTTGCATGAAAACTAGTTTGGTATTTGCGCATAGGTCATCAGGCTAGAAACTGGGAGTCTTGAGTTCTAGTCCTGCCTGAAAAGCAAAGCCAACCAAGGTGATTGGGTGATCTTGGACCAATCATTCACTCTCAGACTTAGAAAGAAAACAAAAACAAATCCCTTCCAAAAATTGTGCCGGGAAAACTGCAGAGATTAGTCCAAGTAATCCCCAGGAGTCAATACTAACTTGAAAGTATAAATATGTATAAACATATAATGGTTGCAGAGTGTCCAAATCACAAATGTGGAGGCTGTACATGGACCAATCATATATAACTTTTTTGTGATAATTTGAAGTAGTCACTAAACAAATAGTTGCAATTGAGAGCTGCCTGTATCATGAAGGTTTCTTTCAATTCATTGAAATAGGTACCCATGACCGCACACTGCACTTCTCTGAACCAATTTTATCAAATTGCTAACTGGGATGCAAGAGAGGAGAGTGTTGCCGTTCTGGAAATTGGAATGGAAAAGAAAGTAGTTTGAACAATTCATGTTGTGAATAAAAACATATTGTTATCTTCTGTATGCTTTTTTTCCTGACTCTGAATTCTTCCATTTAATTACAGCTGACTGGAAATGCAGGCATGCTGGCTTGATGGCTCTATCAGCTATTGGCGAAGGCTGCCACCAACAAATGGAGGGAATTTTGAATGAAATCGTTAACTTGGTATTGCTTTTCCTTCAGGATCCTGTAAGTTGAATGGCATTTTCCTTCTCCAAATGTTTATTTTGGTGTTTTATTTTATGATCTTACTAATTAAATATAAATATTTCAGCATCCACGAGTAAGATACGCAGCCTGTAATGCAATTGGCCAAATGGCTACAGACTTTGCACCAAGCTTCCAGAAAAAATTCCATGAGAAGGCAAGTATAAAGCTTTGTGTTGCACAGTTATTAACGAAGCTTATTTAGGGACCTATCACTCATGGTTGCTATCTTTGTTGTAGGTAATTGCAGCTCTTCTGCAGACCATGGAAGACCAAGGCAACCAACGTGTTCAGGCTCACGCAGCTGCTGCTCTGATCAACTTTACTGAAGACTGTCCAAAATCACTGCTTATTCCATATTTAGATAACTTAGTGAAGCACCTTCATTCCACTATGGTATTAAAACTACAGGAGGTGAGGACATCTTAAGATGAAATGGAATATATTTAAGTTACTGTTTCAGCAAGACTTCAATTTTATTTTTATTTACTTGCTACTTTTTTTCACAGTTGATAGAAAAAGGCACCAAGCTTGTTTTGGAACAAGTCGTTACATCCATTGCCTCTGTGGCTGATACAGCAGAAGAAAAGTTCGTTCCATACTACGATCTATTTATGCCTTCTCTGAAACACATAGTTGAAAATGCTGTGCAAAAGGAACTTAGGCTTTTAAGAGGCAAAACTATAGAATGTATCAGCTTAATAGGCCTTGCAGTAGGAAAAGAGAAGGTAGGTATCAAGTTAATTCTCTGCTGTCTTCAGCTTTGTAGGCACATTGAGTTGTTTCTGTACTTGTAAATTGAAACCATTCTTGAGTACATCGTTATATAAAGATACGATGTATCTGTTTAAAAACTGCCACAGCTTGATTTGGGTTCTCTCTTTGTTTTTAGTTTATGCAGGATGCATCTGATGTGATGCAGCTCTTGCTGAAAACGCAGACTGACTTTAACGACTTGGAAGATGATGATCCTCAGGTATGTGACAGAGAATATCTTAGTTTGGTCCCAATTTCTAAAACTACATATATTTGGAAGAGAATTCCTAAATGAAGTTATAATAATCTGCTTTACCACATTTAACTTAATTCAATATTTTGCAAACCATGTATGGTAGAAATCTACATTTTACCCAATGACAGCACAGTTTTAATTGACATACTGCAGTAGGGACAAGGAAGCATTTTAGCTACCAAACCACCTAAAAGCTTGCTAAGCATAATCAGGATAGGCCTGAAAAGTTTGAAGTTTTTCCCCAAATGCACTCAACATCTTTCAGGCTTTTGCGACTTCTGCAATTTCAAAATATTGTTAGCTTGCCCATTTTACTCAATCAGGTTCTCCTTAGGTAACTACTACTCGTTCAGCAAGTATTGGCACTGAACAAATGGTAATTAAAACCAGTCCTCAAAGTTTGTCTCTCACAGCACCTCCCTACCTCTTTCCATAGTGTTCACCTACCCACCCCCCAACCTGCTTGCAGGCAACCCAGGACTTGAAACTTCAACTGGCTTCCCCATTGACTTTGCTTGTGGAAAGCCAGGAAGAAGTCATAAGTTGCGGTCATGTAAGGTTCTCACTTAACGACCTGTGATTTTGCTTCATGGCAGCAATTAGTGGAATTGCTGTCCCGAAACAATGTGTTCTTACAATGTCACACCTTATCACTGCATCACTTAGCAGTGGCAATTCCAGTCCCAGTTATCATATATACATAAGAAACATATTCACATATTTTGTACAGAAATTATTGAACAAAAATGTCCTTTACGCTTTTGATGTGATAAAATCTAATTGGATAGCTTGTAGCAAAGTGCTGTTGCAATGCTTATGTCAAGCTTCTGTAATGGAGACTTCATATTCCATAGTGATTAAGACTGACCTATGAAAGATTCTTTTCTCATTTATGCCATGAATTGGTTAGCTCAAGGCCAATTAATTTTGGGAGGACACTAATATTTTCTAATAGTTTTGTAAACGTATTTTTGAAAGACATTTCAGATATTTCAAAGTACTACCCAAATCTGTACAGTTAACTTTTAAAACAGGTTTGTTAGGGATTGGTTTTTATACAATTCCAGCTGTAATATAGTTTTATAGTCATTATCCTTGAAGAAAATGAAATCTCATTTTATTAATTTACAGATATCATATATGATTTCTGCATGGGCTAGAATGTGCAAAATTCTTGGAAAGGAATTCCAACAATATCTTCCTGTTGTTATGGGTCCTTTAATGAAAACTGCATCAATTAAACCTGAAGTGGCCCTTCTTGACAGTAGGTTCTGATATTTTAATTTATATTTCTTAGTTAATTAGGAATGGTACAACTTTACTAAAATTAACCTTTTTTTCTCACTAGCTCAAGATATGGAAAATATGAGTGATGATGATGGCTGGGAATTTGTAAATTTAGGAGATCAACAGAGTTTCGGTATTAAGACAGCAGGTCTCGAAGAAAAAGCAACTGCATGCCAGATGTTGGTAGGTGCTATTTTAATTAATTTTTTTAAATAAAAATTTGGTTCCTGATGCCCAAAATGTTTGGGAATGAGATTCCTCAAAGTTGAAGAGTTAAAAACAAGATGGAACTTGTTGAGGTAATTCCCTGTTACCGTGTTTTTCACATAAGGCCGGGCACGCACCCATGGCTCGCTTTCCCGGCTCTACCCAGCCCGCACGGCTCTGGCGTGGCCCTGGCGGGATGACCGGAGGGTCCGGTGGGGAGGTGCTCGCTGCCCGCCAGGGCCGCGCCAGAGCTGTGCGGGCTGAGCAGAGCCGGGAAAGCGAGCCACGGGTGCGTGCGTGCCTCCTGCCCCTCGTTCCCAAATCTCGCCCGGGCGAGCAGCGCTTCGCTTGCTCTGCAAAGCTGCGGCTTCCTCACCTCTCAGCAAGCAGGAGGAACCGGCTGCAGCCTCCTCCTCGTCAGCCGCAGCGCAGACGTTGACCTTGCGGGGAGAGAGAGGGAGAGATCCTCTCAGTTGAGCGCCTTCCTCCGCAGCCCTCTGCACGAAAGGAGGAGCCGCCAGTAGGGGAAACCGAGCCGCGAAGACTCCCTTGGCGGACGCTCTCGAAGGAGTCGGTCGGAAGCGGCATGGCTAGGCTGGCCACAGAGGCGTTTGGTGCAGGTGCCAAAGGCGGGAAGGGTGGGCTGGCAGGCGCTAACCTCGGTCGTTCTCCCCGCGTCGGGCTAAAGGTGGTGGCTGTTTCCGCTGCGAGCGGCTCGGACCCGCTGCTGCTGCTGCTCTGCAGCTGCCCTCCTGGCCTTTCTTTGAGGTGGAAGAGCTTGCTGTGCTGAAGGGACCCGCGCGTCAGAGGCGTGCAGTGTAGGGAGGTCAGGGAAGAACCGAAGACGCCCCGGGAGATTCGCCTCCCCACATGGGGTTGGGCTGCCCTCGGGCAGGGGAGGCTTTGTTGTAGTAGGGTGTCGTTTTTAAAATAATTCGCTTTACCTTCGAAAGCAAAGGGAAGGTGGCGACGGGAGCGCCTGAAGCCAAGTGTATTCTCAAGGCTCCGGTTGCAGGGAGGAGCCCTGACTGGCCACACGTGGCTGCACCAAACGCCGAGGCGTTGCTCTAACGCCACGGCAGCAAGGGAGAAGGGAAAGCAACGGTGGAAGGTCTCCCGATATGAAGTGCCCCACCAACGCAGGCAGCACCATATCCGGGCATGCAACAAAAGTACTTCCTAACAGCAAGCCCCCCTCCCCCGGCCATTCCCTCCCATTTTGCATGTTTAATATGGGCCTTAATTTGGGTGGAGGGGCTTACTTTGATTTTATGCCAATAAAACATGGTGGGGCTTCCTATTGGTGGAGGCCGTATTGTTGGAGAAACACGGTAGGAGAATGAGTGCATACAGGGAGACTCATAGAGAGTAGTGTTGGAATAATACACACAGAGCACACAGATACACTGTACAGTAAATATATGTTTTTACTTCCAGAAAGGTTTAAGCAAAGTCCAAAATAAGCAATCCAAAGTCATTCACAAGTTAAATCAGTCAATTTTCAATCCAGGGATAATCCAAATGTCAAAGTCCAGTGTCAAAAAACAGTTCAGTAACAAACTTACATTAAATCCAGAAAATATCAGTCAATTAGGAAAAATGGAGCAACGGCAATACTTTCTAACAGAAGGAAACCGAGATACTCACTCAGACACACTCTCTTCTGAGACTAAGACTAATACAAACCAGGTTTCTGGCTCCATCTTATGGCCGTTTGAGAAACCACACCTAATTACAGTTTTGCATTTTCTTAAAGTTACAGTTTTAAAATGTTTATCCCGGTTTATATATTTCTAACCCAAATACCTGTTAGGTGACTTATATTCCTAACAGAACTCTTTGAAAGCAGTGGTGGTATTCTTTCTGTTCGGCCCGGTTCTGTCGAGCTGGTAGCGGCGATGAGCAGCAGAGTTTTCTCCGCTGCTCTGCTGTTGGGCCAACCTGCCCACCCGGCCTCCCATACTCACCTTTATCCTCTGAATTTGAAGCGCAGCTGCTTTGCGCGGCAGAGCAGAGTGCCGCGTGGCAGCTGTTGAAGTGACCGTGAGAATGCAGTCTTGCAGGAGGTGAGTTGGAACACCTGCGCCTGCGCAAAGTGTGTTTGGTGGATGCACACAAGCCACACCCATCTAACTGGTGGTAAAAAATATTTGAATCCCATAACTTTGAAAGGAAGCTATTGAAACACCCACCACTCTTAAGAAATATATGTTAAATCACTATTAGCAAGAAAATATATTCTTTTAAAAAATATGTTCTTCCACTATTCACTTATAACACTGCAGTTTTCTTTTGCATGTGTACTCTGTTCATGTTCAAATAGAATTTCACAATTTGGGGAAATACATTTATTTGTCTTTATTCTCCTTTATTGGTATTTATTTATCTATTTTATCAGTTTTAAGTCTACCACTAGTAGTTTATTCATGATCTAACTTCCTTTGCTGAAGAAATTTATGTTTGGATTTTAGGTCTGTTATGCCAAAGAATTGAAAGAAGGATTTGTGGAGTACACTGAACAAGTTGTGAAGCTAATGGTTCCTTTGCTGAAGTTCTACTTCCATGATGATATCTTTTTCTAAGTCTGTTCTGTTTTCCTATGAACTGTTAATGTGACAGTTTTTAATGTCTGTTATCAAATTATTTAATGACATTCTAATATAGCTTATTCAGGAAGATGACAATATTCCAGCCTTCTTATTTGTCCAAGTAAATCCTTTTGTTGCAAATCCAGATCAGTTATGCAATTCCTGCCATTTAATGATGCAAATATTTTTAAAATGTAATGTGAGACTTAAAATTGAGAATGTGGCTTTAAAAGAAAACAGCATTCTCAATTTCACTTGATTTAAATCTGGGTTAGTTAAGCAAAATTAAAATATAAAAGTTATACTGCTTCATCCTTAATTGTTATTTAATGTTTATTACTAGTTTAGTCTAGTGATTGAAGCATCCGACTAAAAAGCCAGGAGGCTGTGAGTTCTAGTCCTGTCTCAGGTAGGAAAGCCATCTGGGTGACTTTGGACCCCTCACTTTCTTTCAGCCCAACCTACCTCACAAGGTGGTTGTTGGGGAAAATAGGAAGACCAAGGGATATGGTGTATGTTCATGCCTTGACTTTTAAACTACAAAAGTGGGATGGTTACATTGATCACATTTTCTAAAATAATTTTTACATTGCTAGAAAAATATAATGATTTCCCTTAACGAATTCAACGGGTTCGTGTGGCAGCTGCAGAATCAATGCCTTTACTTCTGGAATGTGCAAGAGTTCGTGGCCCAGAGTATCTCACCCAGATGTGGCATTTTATGTGTGATGCTCTTATCAAGGCTATAGGAACAGAACCTGACTCAGATGTTCTATCAGAAATCATGCATTCTTTTGCCAAGGTAATTTTTTATTTTACGTGGAGAGCATTTTGCTTCTGTTAATAATAGCTGATCTCCTGGGATCTTTATTGAGTAAAAATAAAGTAGCATATACGCAATTATTCAGCGTATGTTTATTGGCTGAATTTTTCTATCCTTTTATTCAAATGTTCATTGAAGACATGGATAATTTTAATCTTCGAATTCCCAAGTTTTGCCATTTTACTTTTTCTTTTGTATCACAATGATTCAGTCCACTGTTTCATTGAACTTAACATTTTTTTTACCATTATATTTCCTAACTTTTTTTGGGGGGGGGGGGTGCTTCCTTATAGATTTACCAAAAAGTCAGATTTCTAATCTTCTCCTCTTACAATGAAAAGAAAGGAAGAAAAAACTATGAAACTGCAGGTTTCTGATCATCTATTTCTTTAATATAGTAGTCTTTATCTTGGAATTTCTACATGGGGATAGAACAATGTTTATCAATGGGAAGAACTAGATCTGTCCATTCCAGACAAATGTGATCAGTAGTTTTATGTGCATTCATTAAAAGAGGAGCAAACATTTCCTTAGTTAATCAAAACCCTGTACTTCTATTACCCAAAACATGTTTCGCTGCAACATGCAAGAAGGAAGCTATTTTCCGATTTAATTATTTCCCACCCAATAGCAGAAGTTCGATGTGCTATACAAAACAAAAATCCATCTTGCAAGATCAAGCCTCCTTTTTATAGTATTTAATTATATGAGATGCAAGAAATTACAGTGATGGCAATAGTTATTGTTAAATATGTTTTCAAATAAATGTTATTTCTTTAGTGTATTGAAGTAATGGGAGATGGCTGCCTAAACAATGAACATTTTGAAGAACTTGGAGGAATTTTGAAAGGAAAATTAGAAGAGCACTTTAAGAATCAAGAACTAAGACAAGGTAAATCAATTAAATGTTGCTAGATATTAATTAAATATGCATTTCAGAGCAAGAGCTTCAAAATTTAAACACGTATTTATCTTTCCAAATTTCAGTGTTTAGAGAACTTAAAATGTAAATACTTTAAAGAAAAATGATAACTCACACTTAAAGTTAAAATAGCAATCTGGGCAATTCAGAAATTCGTCCAAATTTGCTTTGAAGTTCTGCATGAATTTATCACAACACTTTATAAAGAAATTAGGAGTAAATGCAAAATAAAAGTTCCTCCTTATTTACACTATTGCTAGGAAAAAGGTGATTATTAATTAACTGATAACTTTATGATTTTTCAGTAGAAAAGGTGTCGTGATATGTTTTTAAAAATCTCTCTGGCACCTTCCTATTATATAATTGTAATAAAGAAAAAGTATGAGTAGCTTATTAGCTGTGGGGGAACACATTTCAATTTTAGTAGTCAAAACTTTTTTGACATTTTTATTTCCTGATTTTATATGTATGTATTATATTCCTTGTCTCTATTTTGAACCAAATTAGTTTCAAAGTTGAGTTTGTCCAAATCTGAGCTTTCCATGATAGCTTGGTGATAATTTATCCATGTTAGCTAGGATAATACCAAATAATTCCTCAGTGTTCCTTTTGTATATCTGTCTTACAGAAAGCTGGAATGTTTATGAAAATAAGCCATGCTAATACATTTATTTTTTAATTAGTGAAAAGGCAAGATGAAGACTATGATGAACAAGTTGAGGAGTCCTTGCAAGATGAAGTAAGGCTCTTATTATTTGTTAAAGATATAATTGTTGAAATGTATAATTTCATGTTACAAACCTGAGAATTTGAAAAGGAAACACAGCTTTCAAAAGCTTTGTTCATGTATTGCATCTTTATAAAAATTTTCTTCATGTGGTCAGAAACAATGCATACATCAGCAGTATTGGCTGTTCAGCAAAAACGGAAAAGATTGTCCAGGTTTTGACATGTATACAATAATTTTAAAAAATATCATGTCATTTGGTCCAGTATAGTGACAGAAATCATTAACAGGTCCTGGAATGTCAGATTATTCAGATTTGCTTTGACCTGCACACAATTTTCATATTTATACCTAAAAATAATTTGTGTACAGAAAAAGCAGAACATAAAATACAGTATATAGCTTACAGGGCCTACTTGAGCAAATCAATCTAAAAATGTTGGCAGAAAAAAATTAATTCAATCTCCATTATCACCACCATACTGCCTTAACACTCAATAAAACTGTAGCTAATCTTAGTAGCACTTTACTTGCTGTAGAAATCTTACTTTTCAAACAAGTATAGTGCAGGCAATGAGGAATTTCACATTCTTAAACATGTTAAGATAAACAATAGAAATAGTGGTTTTAGAACCATGCTTTTTAAAAAAAAAATTATCCCATGGACCAGTTAACCCAACAACTACAACTGGAGTACAATTTAACGCTTTACTTTCTGCCAATTCAATATATTTTTGAGATTTTCCTTGCTGGCAGCAGTGTTAGAACTTTTGTATTTGGAGCCCATTAATGTCCTTACACAGACTGGCTCATTTGTCAATTCTTCCTCTTAAGAAACACACAAATTGTTTTAAACACAAAGCTTATGAAATGTATAATATTTAAGAAAGTTACAATTATTCAAATATATAAAGGTTTCCCTGTCATATCTGATCAAATTCCACCTTTGTTCTCTTCATCAGCATGACAGTGATGTCTACATTTTGACTAAAGTTTCAGATATTTTGCACTCAATATTCAGTAGCTACAAAGCAAACGTGTTACCATGGTTTGAACAGCTGTTGCCACAAATTGTCAACTTAATTGTAAGTAGCCTCTATGAGCAGTAAAGTGTCACTGTAAAGACCAATAAGAGAAAGTGCATGGGAGTGATGCTTAACTGTTTGCCTATTTATTTTTACCTTGTATTGATGCCATCAATTCAAAGCTTAGACATATACTCTCTCCCTCTCTCTCCCTCTCTCTCTCTCTCTCTCTCTATATATATATATACATATGTATGTGTATGTGTGTGTGTGTGTGTTTTCTTAAGTATGTATATGTATATATACACACACATACATAGATTTTCATGGGTACAGGTATATAGGTCTAGGTGTGTTCGGGTCTTTTCCCATGTAAGATTAAGAGTATCTTGGCAATGAAACATTACCAAGATAATCTTACATGGGAAAAGACCTGAACACACCTAGAGCTACATACATACATATATACATATATTTGTTTTCATAGATTTTCATGGGTACTGGTATGCAAGTCTTGGCGTGTTTGGGTCTTTTCCCGTGTAAGATTGAGAGCATCTTGGCAACATTTCAACGAAGTCCCACTTGCCATCTTCAGGCTTTCGGCTTCGTGCTTGTGCAAGCAAAGTGTGATCAGAGCTGCCATCTCCCTATATATACTGGTGGGGAGGTTGGCTATGTTGTCATTTCTTGATTGGCTGATGTTTGCAGATTGGCTGGCTTTTTCGTAAGAACATGTGTGGCTGAGGTATTGGCTGTCTGTCTATCCGCCTCCTGTGTTGGCAGCGACCTGGGTAATGGGCTGTGTGATGACCTTCTATTGTTGTGACATCCTGGGTATTGTGCTGTAATCCCCTGGGTCGTTGGCTGTGTTGCAACATCCTGAGGTTTTGTGGCATAACCTCCTGAGTTCTGTGATGTAATATCCTAAGCGGGTGGCTGTGATGTGACGTTCTGGGTTTTGGTTTGGCTCCGAGTTTGAGGCCTGGATATGTGTTCATGGCATGTGTCTGTTTGCTTGGTTTCGGGGTTAGGTTGTGTGGCAGCTGGTGAGGCAGCCGTGGTCTGGTTTCTGGACAGTGGTTGTCTTTCGTCTATGGGATGGGTTTGGGTTTGAGTCTGGTGAGGGGGAATGGTAGTGGTGTCATGTGTTGTTTTGGGTCCAGTGTTGGTTTTCATGGCTGGGACTCGTTTGTTGGTGAGGACTAGTTTCCAGATGTCTGGTAGGCGGGAGGCATTGTCCCGTTTATTCATGTTATGGAGGTGTTTCTCTATTTCGATGGCTTCCCTGATTATTCTGTTGTTGAAGTGTTCAGTATTGGAGATTAATTTGGTTCCCTCAAAATTAATTTCATGTCCTGTGGCTTTAGGGTGCTGGAAAAGGGAGGAAGTATTTTTCTTCTTTTCTGACTGCGTTCTTGTGTTCTGCGATGCGTGCATTTATTTATATATAATAAATGATATTTATATATAATAAATGATATATATCATTTATTATATATATAAAATAAATGATATATATCATTTATTAGGAAGCCATCCGTTTACTCGAAGCCAAGCCGCACTAAAAGCCTCCAATACAGGAAACACAATGTTGCCAGCTAATCAAGACAAAAAAATGCTACAAAACAGACAGAAGATGTTAGAAACACCAATCAAGCAGAACACAGCAAACTCCAAGACCAATAAACACAGACCAAGACTCCCAACCAATCAGGATGAAGAAAAAACCATTCTGGCACAGCAGTAGGCTAGCCCCAAATTTAAAACAGCAAGGGCTGTGAAAGTCTGACTCACAGACAAATACAATACACAAGCCTGATGATAGCAGATGAGATTCTGCCGAAACGTTGCTACAACTTTAAAAGCACAACTATAATGACGTGGGAAAATACCCGAACAAAGCTGAATACCATACACACACACACACACACACACACCATGGTAGTTGTAGAGCAGTCTAGACAACTTTGGAATATTCCATTTCTTTGGATCAGGCCATTTTAAGAGTGACCTGACAGTTTTCCAAAAGAAAAATGTTTCTCCTGTATGGAATAACATTAGATGGTAGATTAATCTCCTGAACAAATGAATGGAAAGTAGACTTAAGGAAAGATGATATGGAAACTGCATGGAAAAGAGAAAAATAGAAGGTGTTATAAGGTGCTACACAGTTGTGTGAAGTTACTGTATGCTAAAAAGAATTATGAAAAATAATACAGTACTTAAGAGGTGGTGGCCTAGAGGTGGAGCACTGACCTCACGGTGAGGCTGTGAGTTAGATTCTAGGTAGACAGATATTTCTGTGGGCACAATGAGACTCTATCTGCTGAATATAACCCTGCATTGGTATGGAAGAACATCCAGACAGTAAACACTCAGCTTCATTCAGTTGTCCAGGCTTCATCCCACAAGGGATTATGGGGTCATTAAAAGAAGATGAATACAGTACTCAAGAGAATTATAAAGTGAAATCTTTTCTAACCACTTATGTGTTTTTGCTTAATATGTATATGAAAACTGCATCCATCCTTCATTGTTAGAAGAGTACTGTTATTTTTCTTCTACAAGGGAAATAATAATAATGTACTTAATCTGAAAGAGAAAGTATAGTAGAATGTATGTACTCTTTTGAAATGGAAGCATTTAATGGTGTTTTGGACAACACATTTCCAGAATCCTATGAACTTCTGGTTCAGGACTAACTTGGGGAAACATCTGATCCACACCCAAACTCCTGGATAAATGGAACATTCTGAAATATTATAAATTATTCTTCACTAGCTCAGTAGGCTTTATCCACCTCTAGCATTTCCTTTGGTCTGGAATGATTTTCCATATTGACTTTAGAAGAATATGTTAATCCACAATGATTTAAAAACCTATAGAATGATATTGAAGAAGGCAAAAAGGTCAGGTTTTGTTTTGTAAATATGTTTTAACATGTTTATTGCAGTGTGGTTTTTTTTAGAACTTAGCAATAAATTGTATTATAGGAAAAGTTTGTATGTGTGTGCTGTATTCAGCAATATGTACTGCTGAGTAAACAATAAAGCTGTTAAAATAGCTATGCTCTGGGTAATCACAAGAATATTCAAAGCTATGAAAGGTATTTCAAGCAGCAGGGAGACTACTCTTCATATAGTGTGGTTGGATGGTAGAGTTACATTTTAAATAAACAGAAAGCTGGATATTTATTTCTTTGTTTTTTCTTCATAGTGTCCACATAGGCCATGGCCTGACAGGCAATGGGGTTTGTGCATTTTTGATGATGTCATAGAACACTGCAGTCCATCCTCATTCAAATACGCAGAATACTTCTTGAGACCTATGCTACAGTCTGTGTGCGATAACAGTCCAGAAGTTAGGCAAGCAGCTGCATATGGTATTGGAGTTATGGCACAGTTTGGTGGGGACAACTATCGGCCTTTCTGTACAGGTACGTAAAGATATTTCTCAGCATGATCTAAATAAAAGCGTTATTGACCAATATATTTCTTTTAAAAGTAGTGCTTTATCATGTTTAGCATATTAGAATAACCAATAGAATGATGCATTGCTTCATGCTTAACATTTGTTGTCTATATTCAGGCATAGTTACCTGGATATAGAATCTGTCTCTAACTGTTCAAAGTTGGTATGCCCTGGCACTGTGTAACAGGCATATAGGATATTTCTAATCTCAAACATGTTTGCTGGAATGTCTGTAATTCACAGAGTAATGAGCACTGCTGAATGGAAAAAGTGAAATGTGTGTACAGGTTACAACTACTTGTTCAACAACTAACAGTGAGGAACTTATGAAAGGTTCTTGGAGTTCTGGCCATTGCAGTGAGCCATGGTCATATACTCACGATTTCCAAAGTCCTGCTTTCGTCAAGCAAGACCTATGGGGAAACCAGCAGGAGGTCAAAGTCGCAGTCTTGAGGTCCTCACTTAATATTGTCCTCATTTATTGAAAGCATCCCTGACTGCTCCTTTTTCACTTTTTAAAAAGATTGTTGAGAAGAATGTATTTTTTAATTATGTTATGCAGTACCATGATTAGAAGCCATATTATGTCTGGAAAAGTATTCTCTTGCAAGTCCAAGTAGTCGAGTGCTTTAAAATGCTATATTTAAATGCTGATATTAAAGTATTATTGCTCAAGGTGTTTTTTGCTTTTTTTAAATTTCACCTTATCAGAGGCACTTCCATTGCTGGTACAAGTAATTCAGTCAGCAGAGGCCAAAACCAAAGAAAATATCAACGCAACAGAAAACTGCATTTCAGCAGTGGGGAAAATCATGAAGTTCAAACCTGACTGTATAAATGTTGAAGAAGTTCTGCCTCATTGGTTATCATGGCTTCCTCTTCATGAAGACAAAGAGGAAGCTGTCCATACATTCAATTACTTGTGTGACTTAATAGAGAGGTAATTAGAAAATACGTAGACATCACTATTTGTTTAATTTGATGGCATATTTGAATGTTGGGAATTTTAAAGCTTTTTTTTTTCCTTTTTTTGGAAAAATAATTAGAGATAATTTACACTAGTGGTTCTCAACCTTTTCTTCACCATGCCCCCCACCCCTCACCCCCCAATACCTTTTGTGGACCATCAAGACTTAACTGAAGATTTAAATAATAACATTTCTTCAAGCCTTCGCAGAATTGATGACTTTGCAGCCTGCCAGAGTCCACAGTCCACAGATTGAATTACACCATTGATTAATGGACAAAATAATATATCCATATCCCCTAGGTAGAATTATTGATTTCATTTTAATGAATGAAATTATTGTTTAGCAAATGCAGCTTTATCCTAAGTTATCCTTATATGTTTTAGAAACAGAAGAATCGAATGAATTTATTTTGAATTCTTATTGCTACGTTTGTTTCGATAAAGCTGCTTTAAGGCATGCTTTCATAGACATAGTGACTCCGTCAATTGATCAAACATTTTTAACAAAGAAATTTATGATTATTAGATCATTTAGCGCATTTAGTACTGTTTTGACAGATCTAGTAAAATCTGGTTTGTTTTGTTTTGCCTTTTTATACATCCTTCTCAACTTTTTATCATTCTAATGAGAAAAATGGGGGTGGGGAAGAGTATTGATCAGTTTTCGGATAACTTCTGGTAGGAGGATCAAGGGAATAGTGTGTCCATCCTTGCTCTTAACCTACTAGCTTTCAATACCACTGATTCTTCTGCCCCAGCTCCAGAGGTTGGAAGTTGGGGACACAATATTTTGCTCATTCTGCTCCTTTTGTCGTGGTCAGTTCCAGTCAGTGCTGATAGAGATTGACCCCAAAACCATTTCTTTGCAGACTGCATCAAGGCTTAGGACTCTCCACTCTCTTATTTAACATGTACACAAGCCGCTGGGCAAGGCTGTTCAATAGCATGGGGCAAATTATCATCAATATGCTGATAATAATCAGGTGTACATTTCCCTTAAGATATGGCTTTTACCCCAGATGCACGGGTTGGAAGGTTAGGTGAGCTTAAACTTATTGTTACTGCTGATGGTTATTCTCAGTTTGCATTAACATTCAACATTTGTTTTTATTCTCAACAGTAATAATCCCATTGTCCTGGGTCCCAACAACACTAATCTGCCCAAAATATTTGGTATAATTGCGGACGGTGAAATTAGTGAAGCAATCAAGAAAGGAGATCCATGTACCAAACGACTGGCAAATGTAGTTCGACAAGTACAGGTAAATGCAAATTAATATTGATAGGCAGATTATGGTATTGTTTGATATAATTGAACTTTCATTTCCACCCTCAATCAGTGGATGGGGAACTATAGATATAGGCAATTTTCAAATTTTATTTTGAATAGCAGATTCAGTGCTTTTGTGCTCCTAACAAGTACAAAATATAATTGCATTTTAGAAGTAGCAGATAGTAGAAAGGAAGGAATGATTGGGATGAGATTGCATTTCATAGGCACCACAGTTGAGATTTCAGACCTTGAGATTTTCAGATTTGGCTAAGGGCAAAAAAGAAAAACTTTCATAAATTAGAAATAAGGAAGAGAATATGACGTGAAAATCAGTTTTGGTCATCTCACTTAGTGTCATGCGGAGAGTTGTTTACTCATTAGCCCTTAGCAAGAAAAATTTGGGTTTCAGTTGAATACTAATTTTTAAAATACTTTATATCATTATATGTATCTGAACCCACAATTTTCTATCTTTATTACAATTTCACTAATGACCCTGCATGTTGGTTTCCTCCTTTCCAGCATAGATTTGTATTTTTATATATTTTAGGTAATTTCCCTGGTATCATATACCAATGGTGCATTGTTTTTAAAACATCAGCACCCAGATTGGTGGGGGCAATATGCTGACATTTGTAACTGCTCAGACAGTGTTGTAAAGCATATGGAGCATTATATAAGTTTATGTGCTATTGCTATTCTATTTAAAAATTATAAAAATGTTATTTTAAAAGTTTTTCACTCTTGTATGTTACAAGTATGTTACACTTTCTTTATAAGATGCTGAATTTTGAAAAATATATAATAGCATTGTTGATTATATTAGAGAGGTTTTATTATTTCCCTTTCATCAGCCATATAAAATTGTTAAATCTGTTTTGGATCACATTTAAAACTAACATGGATATCTTAAATATTGGTGGGGATTAACAGAAAATGTCATTTCCATGTTACCCTGTTTGAAAATACATTTTGCATATATTCTTGGTGTTGTGTGGATGGATTTTCCATGCTGTTCTTTAATTTCTATCTATTGAATATTGTTATTTAGTTCTTTTTATCTAATGAGCCACCCAGAGTTGGTCAAAAATTAGTTTAAGGCATGTGGAGAGTGCGCACATGTTCATGCTTCATTTATCTGTTATCTCTCTTCTGTAGACTTCTGGAGGCTTGTGGACAGAATGCATATCTCAGCTAAATGCAGAACAGAAGGCAGCCATACAGGAGCTCCTGAACTCTCCATAAAGGGCCTTAATTATCATCCACAAAAACTCCAAATAAACATTTACCCTTCGGTTTAGGTTTCTTTGTTTTGTTTCTAAGAGAAAACTGCAGTGCATGTAAGTCATTCTGCAACCTACATGCTGTAGCAGCAGGAAGAAACGGTTACAGATGGTGTTGCTAAGAATTTCTACCCCATCAGCACAGACGCAATTCCTTATAAATCCTACAATAGCACTGAAGAGTATTTTTGTAATGGTATGAACCAACTGTATGGCAGTGAAAGGGAAACAAGTTGAAATTTCTTTTTAAGGATAAACTGATTGAGACAGCTTTAAAGCAGGTATTTCGTAGGCACCCATTATAAAACAGATTACATGCATTTTTACCCTCTAGTGTTGAAACATATTGGAGTGAGTATTTTTGTAGGGTAGAAAACTTCCTTCTGCCCACCCATCCAATAGATTAAGGATCTATAAATTGAAGGCACCATCAAGCATGAAGACTTCATTGATATCGAATTCAGTTTTCTGAACCAGGCTTGTATAGTGGCTCAAGAAAACCATTGAGTTCTCAGCCTTGAATGTGAAGTGTCTGGCATGTCTGACGGTATCTCATCCACTCCCTCAATAAATGACATTGAATACAGTCAGAGTTTGTGTAAAAGTCCAGTGCTGTGTGGTTTCTTCTTTGCTTCCAGTAAAAATAAATTGTTTCCAAATTCATATATTAATCCACATTCCAAATAGTTACTCTTCAATCACTCATGTTTTTACCCTTCTACACTGTAAAGCTGTGGAGAGCCTGTTTATGTTTATATTCAACTTTTCATGTTGGCTTAATTTCATATGCCTTCTAAAAGTGATATAAGATCAAATCTGGGTCAATCACCAGGACCAAAGATTTGCTCTTGCATGCAGTACTTCATCTCTAGGAGTTAACTTATTGTGGAAAGGTGATCTTGGCTTCAGTCAGTTCATGTGTTTGTTCATTCATGGTTTTAACTGCACATTGTATATTGTACTGTAGCATTCCAAGGTTCAGAAAAATTATTCCAATTAACTGAAATCTGTGCATGTCAATTAAATAAGTGCCACTAACTTCAATGGGGTTTATTCCCTGTACATTGATAACTGCATTCTTTGTAAGAGTAAGCCATTTTAGAATGATAAAACACTGAGATTTTCTATAAATTCTATTGAATTACTTTGAGTAATAAATATTTTTGAGTGAAGTGATGGAGGACAGAGAGGGATCTTTTATTTTCTGGAACAGTTACTTCTAAAGACCGAATACTGTATGTTACAGAACAAATCTTCTAAATTCTGTGCTGTTAGTTAATTTCCAGTGAAACTTGGAAAGTTTTATCAACTAAAGGGGAAAACCCAATTTTCTACTTATTTTCTGTGTTAATTGATTCTGCAGATATTCTTATATCCTTGCTTCTCATGATTTTGTTGTTTTGTTTTAAACGCATTTGGGAGCAGTACTAAGAATTTGAAGAGGTGGACCTCTATAAAATCCTGATGGCCATATCAAAACATTTCAACTTTCTACAAAATCTTTCCCATTTTTTCTCTCATAAAATGCTCTTGGTGACCATTCTGTATTGCTTATTGCCACTAGATGGAAGTAATGCAGTTTAAGAAACGTACCTTACTTGGAAGACCTATGTGATCATTCCATACTATCATACAGTATGGAAAATACAGATGAATGAGCAAAACGTTTTATAACAAGTATGTTGCTATTCGCACACCTCTGGACAAAGTAAACTACTTGGAACAAAATAAAACCTGACAACCGATACTAGGAGATCCAAACTTAACTTCGCTGGTGAGAAAGAGCTCTTTCAACCCTTAACCTTTGGAAGAAATGACTAGCTCACCTCAGTGTGTGATCAGTACTTTTCTGGCCCTACTTAGATTTGGAAGCTAGATGGGGTTGGGTCTGAATGAGAAACCACCCCAAAAATCCTTGATCTAGGCCAGGAAGTCAAAAAATATTCTGGAAGAAGGCAAATCATTTTTGTGAGCTGCCTAGAGTAGCCGCATGGCAAGATAGGCAGCAAGTAAATTTAACAAATCAATAAAGACTACATGACTGTTGATAAAGTTATCAGGATTCAAATTTAATTTGAAGGAGAAATTAGTTTTACTTAAGAAATGTATACACCATCTGGATCAGATTCTAGATTTTCAAGAAAAATGCAACAATACAAAACCAAACATCAAAGTTTTATTCATCTTAACCTCAGGATGAAAATTTGAGAACATGTAATAACAGCAAAGAAAAAAACAATTTCATTAGAACTAATGGACATTTCAATAGCTACAGGTGACAACCATCTAAGGCAAGGATAGAATGCATAATTTTGAAAATTAGAAAGGAAAGCCAATAAAATAATTGAGATGCCTTGCTGTTACATTTTTAAAATTCTATTGTGGTTCAACATTTTTTCCAATGAGGGCAAGGAACTTTAGTTAGCACTGGAGAGAGGTATTAACTGTCCTTTTATGGTTTTATGAATATCTCTTAAAACACAATGATCTCCAAGGCCCAATTGCTTTTCCATAACTATCTCTTCCGTTGCACTGGTAACAACAGATGGGCCTTCGGTATTCCTCAAGGAAACTCATTTTAGATCTTTCTAAAGCAAGAACAGCTTTTTTCCTGTTTATTAATTTTCCATTTGTATCACAGACTGATATTCAGAATCCTACTTCTATAGCCCTAATTTTAAATACAAGACTAATTTCAAAAATTGCAATTACAAAGCATGCACATATAATGACAATAGTTATAAATAACTGAGCACCATATAGCATTGAGACCAGCACTTTAGCCTTAAATAATTTGACAGCTGCTGGTACATAGCTGTTATCATGTTGACTTGCATATTTAATGATCACAAAGGATGCTTTGGGGGCTTTTACATGAAGGTTGCTTGATTGATCCAGTGAGTAGATGATTGAAAGTGAATGTCTGCATACTTAAAGGTCACCACTTGCTCAATATATCTGACATTAATCTTCCAGCTAATCAGTGACTTGAAGCACTTTCTGGAAAACATTAAGACCTTTGTTTAGGGTTATTGACCTCAAGCCATATGGTAATAAGAAGAGGCATCCAAGCAGTCCCACTTGGGCTATGGAAAGTATGGAGGTATCATCAACAGAGAAGAATGGAAGAGTGGAGCGTGAAATTCTGGTTTAGCAAAGGCTTCAATCACAATATATCCATTTAACAATAATGGGGTTAGCATGCAATTTCCATTTATACTTTTAGCTTATTTATTTAGTTCTCCTTTACAATTTATCTTAACTTGCATGGTACTTTGTGAGTATAGTCATTAATTTAAGGATACAAGCAATGTTATAGCTGATTTTCTCTGGAGTCTCTCACATGCTATAGAATCAAGGCCATATTTAATTTTATTAAAGCCACATAAAGGCTGCCTTTGGTAAGGCTATTTCTCAGTGAACTAATGTAATTTTGTGCCTTGGTCCAAGATTGAATAGCTGGGGGTATGAACCCTGCCTGCTCTGGTGCCAGGATGCTTTTGGAAAGTCCCAAAACAGTAAGTTTATAAAAGAAGAAAAAAAAACTATATATAATTTACTGATTACAGATAAGGGACTGATAGGGCAATGGTTTGCACAATCAGATTTGTCTCTGTGTATAAGAAGAATGGAATTATTGCATAATTTATAAAATTAGTGTAATGAATAAAAGCTAAAACATGCCATTGGGCGAAATTGATTTTTAAGAACTTGGGTAAATTGTTACCCACTTTTTGATGGGGGCTTTGTTATTTTTCAACTGAGAAATTAATTTTTGAACTTCTGTATATTAGACCAGAGCCTTTATAGTTTATTATTTTCAGATAATTTTGTTTTTAGTATGATCTGGATTGCTATCTGCTCTGAACATTCAGGAATATGAAGCTACTAGTCAACAGAAGAAATAATGAGAGCCTTAATTCACCAATATCTAGTTTTCCTTCTTTGAAACCTCTTCAAGTCAAAGACAACGTGTGTGTTAAGATAGAAAAACATTCTCCTTTAGGAAATCTAGTTGGAGATAGTTCTTGACTTAGGACAATTGAGCCCAACATTTCTGTTGCTAAGTGAAACCTTTGTTAAAATGAATTTCGTCCCATTTTACAACCTTCCCTGCCACAGCTGTTAAGTGAATCTCTGCAGTTGTTAAATTAGTAACATGGTTGTTAAGTGAATCTGGCTCCCTCGTTGACTTTGCTTCGAGGTCACAAAAAGTGATCATGTGACTTGGGACACAGCAAGGGTTGTGTGAAAAACAAGCCAACCATCCAAATTTTTATCACATGACAATGGGGATGCTGCAACAGTTGTGTGAAAAACAGTCATATGTCACTTTTTTCAGAGCTATTGTAACTCCGGTCACTAAACAAATAGTTGTAAGTTGAGGACCTGTCAGGCAAACAAAAGGATGTCCTTGCTGAATTGCACATAGGTCCAGTGAAGCAGATTACTAGCTGGTGGGGGGGAGGGGGGGGAAGCAAGGGTAAGCAAAATCCTAAGATTTGTCAGATCCAATATTCACCTAATCTGACCAGTAATTCAGTAGCATTGATGTTCCCAGCAAGAAAAGATGTATTCAGAAAACCTGAACAGCTACTATTTTATTAAATTTGCAGCACACATTTGGATCAGGAACTCCAAGTAGTGTACCAAATGCCCTATCCTCTCATTTTTCCTCACAACTCTGTAAGTTAAAGTAAAATGGAAATAACTGAGAATGAGCTCTCCACTCTTTGTTTTAACATTTTAACACCTTAACCACCAACCATAACATATTGTCTACCCTAGGAAAAAAAAACTTCTTTGCACTTGGTTTTCAACAATACGCTGAACAACATATTATCTGCAATGCTTCTGTATATTATATAAGGTGTTAAAAACAGGAACAGAATTGTTTTCTTCAGTTCCTGCTTTTGTTTAGATTTTGCAAACTGTTGTGAACAAGATTTTTGGTTGATAATTTATATATGTTCAGCTCCAGGTCTCACTGGATTCACATGTAGCATGTTTCTTCCAGGTAAATTGGCATTCAATTGCAGCCTAAAGTGACCTTTTATTTTATCAAGCAAAGCTACACATCCTCATTATGAAGCATGACTTTATATGCAATAAATTGATCCTCAAAGGGGAGATGCCATTATTCATTGAACGGAAAATTAATAACCATTTGCAAACATATATGGGTTAAATATCCAATCACTGGAGAAATGTAGAAAGGTGCTTCCAGTTCAATTGAAGAAAATGTGTTTCAATTGTTCTTTAATTATGGAATTTCACAAAGGATTCAGGAATCATACTATTTTTTATTTGCAAATTTTGCTTTCTTCCACGTTCTCCCATTCTTCTTTGTAGACAAAGGTTGTTAAAGAGAACAAAAATAAATAAATAAATTCACCACACCTTTTGGGGAGTGCTATCTAAAATTGCCATTCTGAGAACACAGCAGGCCAGGGGATTCTGGACAGCTCTTGGTACAATCTAAAAATACTGTAACCACGGTACTGCTCTGGAGTTACATCTATGTATCCTTTAAATAAATAAATAAACTGGATTAATATATTTTGTCAGCATGCATGCTTGCCAATAAAGCTGGTATGGGGGAATCAATCTGCCTTATTCTCAAACGAGACACTGCTGCTTTCCAGTCACCTCCCATTTCCTACCCAGTGCAATTTTCTCTTATCACAGATCGTTGTTCGGGAAGGGAATCTAGGCAAGCCACAGTCAGTCAGTGAGACAGACATACAGACACACACACCCCTCGGGAATGATAATTCTAAGATCTGTCGATGTAGAAACTAAAAAAAAAAAAAAAAAAGCGGGAAACCTCACCCAGGGAAAGATACGCTACTTTGGACCCCTTGTAACATTCTGGGAGTGTCAGGAGGTAAACGACCTTCGGTTTTCAACAGTGATAGAAGTAAAATTTGACCGGGTTTTCTCCAGAGGAGGTGCGGAGTTTCTGCCGGGGATGGTGGCGTACCCAGCCAGGCTGAAGGACCCGGAGCCGCCCGCGCTGACCGTCCCAATCCGTTTTCCCTTTGTTCCCGCTTTGTACCGGATTCAACCCCGCGCTGCCCTCTCTGTAGAGCTTGGCACACTTGTAGCCGCCGCCACGCCTCTTTGCGCAGAGAAGGCACACACTTAAACACCGTGTCCGTTCAAGGACCTCCGGAGCCGGCACGGCCCGCCCGCCTCCCCTCCCTTCCTCTCCCTCCGCGGGCTGCCCCTGAGGCTTGGTCCACCGGGAGGAGGAAGTTTCCACGGGAAAAGACCCGGCCCTTCGAGGCTGAGGAGGCGCCGTGCTTCTGGGAGAAGAAGAAGAAGAGGAGGAGGAGGAGGAGGCGGGGGGCCGAAGCTGTGTGGCTGGGGCAGGACGCGCCCACGGACGCTGGAGGGGGCTCTACACCGCCGCGGTTCCCCTCCCCGCCTCCCCTTTAGGCGGGGGCCGGAGCGCTAGTGGGAGGAGAAGGAGCGGGAGGCGACGGCAGCCACAGCCACAGCAAACCCGGAGCTGCTGCGCCGCTTCCCCGCTCTTGCCTCGGCTGGACATCTCGAGCTCCCGCTCCCGCCCTTTTGGCCGGGGCGCCTTTTCGCTTCCCTCTCGCGCCTCAGCCATGGCGACCTCGGTCCCGTCGCTCCCTCGGCATTGCCCCAGTTCCCCTCCTGCCGCCGCCGCCGCCGTCGCATCCGCCCCTTCCTCCCTCGTCTCCTCGAGGACCTTTTAATGGCTCGGACCCTCCAGGGACCGCCACGCCGACTTGTTTGCGCCGCCGGTGGCCGCCACAACGAGCAAAGGAGAGGTGGGGGGAAAAAATCCCGAGAGGAGTGCCGCGCACGGTAAGGGGGCGCAGGACTTGGAAACAATGGGAAGAAGCGGCTGGGGTGCGCGCGCGCGTCCTTCGGCTGGCTGGCTTGCGGGGAGATGGGGGGGAAGCTCCGGGGGCGCGCGGGGAGAGGGGCTGGTTGGCAGCAGGCGTGGGCCTGGGGCGGGGAGAAGCGGACGGCGACACTTTAGCGGCTTGCGTGTGCGTGTGTGTGTGTGTGTGTGTGTAGTGGAGGGGGTTGAATCTCTTGCCCTGGAAATCCGCTTTAAGCAGGCTAAGGTACACACGTTGGTGTCTTTTTCCAGCTCTCCAGAACATCCCCGCCCCACCCGGGGCTTGGTAGGCAAAGACTACTTTGCGAAGTTGGTGCCTTTTGTTTCTTCGGGATTCGGAACTTGTTCCCGCGAAGGGCCTTCGCTCCCTGCTCCGCTGACCTCGCTCTCCCCGCCCTTTTGCTCTTTGCAGGGTGGAGGAGGAGGAGGAGGAGGAGAAGGTGGCATTATCCCAGCCCCCTTCTCCCCTCCAAAGCCCATGACACCTTATCGCTCCCCAGACAGAGACACCCACCTTTAATCATCCCGACTGTTCCCACCCAACCCTCCTCAGTCAGGTGGGGCTGGGCACAAAGGAAGGTGAGGGAGAGTATCTTGGTTGTGATGAAACCAGACCTGGGTCTGTCTGGTGTCATAGGGAAAGGTCCACTGTGGCCCCTGGGAAAGGGAGCTGATCAAGACTTTCTGGAAAACGTGTTGTGGGAAGGGCAGAAGTAGCCCAGGTAGTGGGGCTGAGGAGAACTGGCTGTGTATAGAGTCAAAGTAAAAGGTGGATAGTTTGGGACGAGATCCTGTGGGTGGGTGGAACTTGAGTGTTTCTGGGGGGCAGGAGAAGCCAAAGTGACGTACTATTTGTGAGAAGTTTTATATCCATTTGATTCTTTATACTGTTTCCATCTTCCCTTAAAATAGTAACAGACTCCATAATGGTCTGAGAATAAGTGTCTTCACTGAAGAATTTGACAGGCAAGCTTGAAATTTAGTTAATCAACTAAAATGAGCAAACTTCCTCAAACCACAAACAAGTTACCCAGAGCTAATCCACATACCAAAGGATAAGGTTTGCAAACATGAGTTGATTAGGTCTTCCACAGGAACTGCATGTTCACAAGAGTAAACATACCTACAAACTCATGCCCCTCAAGTGTCATGGAGACACTTCACCTTGGACAAGCTCCCCCTCTCAAAATCTACTGTACCCCATTTGTCTGCAGCATTCCTCTAAAGGCATACCGTTTTGCTTTTAGGAATAAATATTTCTTCTTTCTTCACAGTTGTCTGGATTTCATTTTTATTTATTTTTGCACAGCCCCAGCTGGAGTTAGAACCCCAAATTATTCTTCTGACATAATGAAGCATTTGATGTTTAGGGCCAGGACACCTCAAATATAAATCAGATGTTCTGAGGAATTTTCTGGTGGATTGTGCCCACTTTGTTAATAATTAGGCAAGAGCTGCATTGGGTTATTCTGCTTCTGGTATTGAAACCTTTTAGCTTGACCTTGAAGGGGTTGACCAGAAGCCAAATCTTTAATTGAAACCATTCTACCCTGGGAAAGCAATGGTGTAGTAGCCTATTAAAAGTGCAACAACTTTCAATTTGGTGAAAGACATCATGTCTTGATATTTGCATCAGGCATTTATTAATACCAGTGATGTTTGTGAATTTGAAAACTGAGCAGAACAATGGTGGAAGTTACAAAATGGAAGAATTTGTAATTGCATGCAGTGGACTAGAATACACACCTATATTTGTTTGCTGGAGATCTAAACCAGGGATATATTTCAGATGTCAGTGAAAATGAAATATATTTCATTGGGTAGCCCTTCTGAACTTGATGCCCTTCTGAAGTTTTGGACAACTCCTGTTATTAGATTGCATGGGAATTAATAAGAATTGAAGTGTAAACATCTGGAGGACACCAAGTGGGACTGCAGACATTATGAATTGTATTATGATACACAGCTCCTAAATTAGTATCATTTGCAAGTTATCAATGCATTCTTATGTTTTGGGTACTTGACATTTTGTCATTTATTTTATTTTTTATTGGGGCTTCTAAGTAACAGAACTGTACAAAGAAGTTCATGTTTCTCATCTATCAATGAACAAGTTTAGGATAGCTGGAATGTTTTGGATTAAGACATTTGCTGTGCTTGTATTTGTACTATCTTTGATATGCCTATTCTATGAATGCAAGTCATACATTTTGCCATTCTGTGCAGCCCTGCTCCTTAATAATTGATACGTTATGATGACTGCTGCATGCCAGAGATACATTCCATGAATTAATCCTTTCCCACATATATTTAGATAATAAGACAGTGTAATTTCAGTTTGTCATTAGTAGGATACTTCCATACGGCAAACCATCTAGAAAGGCACAAATATTACAAACTGGATGCAAAGAAGGTTGAAAGCGAGACAAGACTAGATTTTCTAGAATGGTGCAGGCTAGTTTCTTCACAGCCAAAATGCACACGGGTTTTGAATCTACTTGAAACAAATTCAGTTTTTTCTCTTGAAAAAAATAAGTGGCCCTGGACTTAAATTCCCTTGTACAATTTGCTATGTGACTGGGTCAGTCTCTTATTTCGCAGCCTTGTTGTTTCAAGAATAAAACTGAGGAAGGTTCCTTCAGAAAAGGTAGGATATAAATGCAACCAAGGAAGTACTAAGTCAGAACAACCACTGAATCTATTGAATTTGCTTTGGGAGAAAGGATGTGATGAAGAGACAGAGGTCTTCTGTAGGACAAAATACAGAAACTCAATGAAGGGCCAGCAAAGTAATTGCTTTTATGCTGTACGCTGGCTCCTCTGGAAGACCAGAAGGGACTTCGCTTTACAGAGTCCGATCAAGGCATTGCTTTATGAAAGGTATGATTGAAGCAAAGCACCTCTTGGAAGGTTCACACATACATGATACTAATTTAAATATGAAAAATAAAGATTGTTTATTTTTATTCTCTTCCTTTAAAAAAAAACATTTATTACTTTTGACATTCTTTAACCGAAGCATGATACACTGAATGTAATGAGCTTTTCAGTCATGATCTCAAGGTTACTTTCAAATTAATAGGTCTCCAGGGAATGAGAAGATAACTACTTAGGCCCTAGGATTATTTAGTTATTTGTATTTTAACTTTTTAGCATGCATTCTTGTTGTAAAGCATCCAACACAAATCTTGGGAGATTTGTTGGCTATGACCCAATTTAAATAATATAATGCTGTTTATAAACACTCTCCAAACTGCTTTATTAGTAAAAGTATGGTGCACAGTTATGTCCTCACATTAAAAATATTACTCTGCAGCTTGATGTTTAAATAATCAGATTACATATAATGTAGTATCATGGGTCTTAAGGAAGCTTAACTGAATTAATTAGTGTAGCTGAGTTCAATGTTTAATTGGACTGGAATCTGCATTGACTATAATATATAATCTTCCAGCAATCCAGAACTGGAATCTTGCTTTAAAATGACTTCATAAACATGGACTTACACTTACTGCTTTGATGACTAATACCTAAAACCATTACTCTTCCCAGCAAGAGTAGCAGAAGAAACAGCAAGACTAAGGAGATGAAAATCATGACTAGCTATAGATTGCTGAATTCCTTAGAAAATCCAAACATTGTTTGGGCTTTATTCTGTCCCTGGAGCAAACCACAGCCTATTGTAATGTCGGAATTTAATAAACTGAATGGTTGAGGATGGATTGGTGTATAGGTGGCATCTTATGAGCATATGAAAAGTTGCCCTGATAATATTAATTGTACAATATGTGTTTCTTCAGCTTTCTGTGTTTATTTTTAAATGTTATTTTATAAACCTTGTACAAAGTAGAAGATCAAAAGCAGAGATAGATATTATATAATAAAATATATTAAGAAAGTTAAGTGAATTTTGCTCCATTTTACAACCTTTATTGCCACAGTTGTTAAATGAATCATTGCAATTGTTAAAGTTAGTAACATGGTTGTTAACAGAATCTGGCTTCGTCATTGACTTTTCTTGTCAGAAGGTCACAAAAGTTGATCCCATGACCCCAGGATACTGCCAGTTGTCAAGCCTATGAGTCTGAATTTGGATCACATGACCTTGGGGTTGCTTCAATAGTCATAAGTGTGAAAACGGTCATAAGTCACTTTTTTCAATGCTGTTGTAACTTTGAATGGCCACTAAAAGAACTGTTGTAAGTTGAGGACTACTTGTGATTGTATTTTCGTAGCAGTCTCCACATAATTTCTCTAAGACCGTCTCTATCTTACCACATTGTGATAGAAGAACTGCTAATGGATCACAGTCTCTTCTGGCTTAGATTCACCAGGGTAGATGATGGGGAAGAGTTTTTCTTTTCCTTCCTTTCCCTCCACTCAACTTGGGGCTTTGCATCTCTCTTAATCAGGGGTCTTCAAACTTGACAGTTTTAAGACTTGCTGACTTCAACTCCCAGAATTCCTCCTCCAGTCATGTTAGCTCAGGAATTCTGGGAGTTGAAGTCCACAAGCTTTAAACTTGCTCTTAATCTTTTCTGGAAGTACGGTCTATAGAAGGAAAATGAAGATTTTTTTAATTGCATTACTTTATTTACATCTATTTGGTATAACTTTGGAAGACCGGGACACTCAATTTCCTATTCAGTACACATACTATTGATGTAAGGCTGATGATCATGACAATTAGACTCACTGTTAAAAACCATTTTCAAGCTTATTGCTAATAATGGCAGCTAAAATGAATCCATCGTTATCTAATGAGAACCTGTATTTTTTATTTAGATCTCCTCAGAAATATAAGAATGATACAGATATCCCTCTAGTGTTACTTTCATTCTGCTGATCTTTAGTCTTGAAGGACTGTTCTAGGATTCTTAGAGGATTCAAAATGACAGCTGACATCCACCATGGGATTACATACTCAGTACAGAGTTAATGACCCATATTTCAATATTGG